GCTACCATTAGTGAATAATCCATTTGAACGCTTAGTACCACCCCAGGATCCTTTTGAATCAATAATGTGATAGGTGAAATTCCATTTGAATGCCAATGTAGTCAATAATTGTGCCTCTATTCCATTTGTTATATTTGGTGTATTAGCTTGTTGAAATTCCAAAAATATAAATGGTTTAGTCTGAATTTATAAAAATAATTTACTTATCAGTATAATATTATTATAGAAATTGACTACAAATAATTGTTACCTGTGTAGTAGCAATAATTAAATTTAGACCATTAAGATTAAGCATGATATTTTATAAATAACATTTCAATTATGTAATTATTGTAATTGCTTAATTAATTTTTAGTACCGTGTATATTTAACACGTTTGAATATTTAACTGTTATTTAAGAATATTTAGTTTTACTACAAATATCGTTAATAAAATATTGATTTTCAAAACTAAATGCAAAATAATAACCAATCAAAGTGTAATATTTTACATGCAATATATTATATTTTACAATACATTTTTATAAACCATATTAAATATATTTAGGTACACGTAGTAATATTTACATAAACTATATTTTAATAAATAATTTTTATTTTAATGTCCTTTTCCTAATATTAATTTAAAATTCATATTTTATAAATGATTGAATAAATGATATTTTCTTTATTAAAATGAATTTTTAAATGAATTTTTAATTTAATAGATTTGTTTATATAAATAATATTTAAAATGTACAGTATTTACCGGTATATACCTTTATTGTAGTAAATATACATTATTGTAGCAAAAAAATGAATCAATATATTTTCTTATTTTTTGAATTTAATTTGAAATAATTAATTTTTATAACAAATATTTATTTTTTTGTGTACAGTATAAAACATATTAATAATTTTCTTAAAATATATTTATGCTTATTGTTTGATAGTATTTTAGTAATATATTCAATAACAAGTGTTATAATTGCAACACAATATAAGACTAATATTTTTCTAATTAGTATTTTAAATTCATTTAAATATAATTGCGATGATTGAAACTCTTTAGAAATTATTTTCATATTATATTTATTTGAATTAATATCCACATTAAATTTTCAACACTTTGTCGAAAAAATATGGAAACAATTTTCCAAATACTGTCCGTTGAAGACATACTTCCGCTACTAATCCTTAGTAGTGTTGATGTGATTGCAATCATAACTAAACTCCAAATCCAGACATTGGTATCAAATGGTTTGAAAAGACTAATGAAATGAAATAATTTAGGCGTTGGGGACGTGAATGTAATGCCGTCTATGATGTGAGGGTATGTCAGGTCCACCGCCTCTCGTCTCTCAATATTGTGAACTAATTGTCCGATTCCTATATCAGCCAACTGTCCAATAAAATACATTAATTAACTTTATTTCTAATAGATAACTTAATATTTATTATAATTTATAATTATACTCACACCGGATTGTAGTAAACTAATAATACTTCCATTTGGAAATGTACCATTTGCCATTTTATGACCCCACGAACCTCTCGTATCAATAATGTGATAGGTGAAATTCCATTGGGATTGCAATGTATTTAATAATTGTGCCTCAATGCCGTACGTTATTTGCTTTGTTTTATTATCTTGCTTATATCCCAAAAATATAAACGGTCGTGCCTACGAAATATCAAAGCTTAATTATCTGATTATCAGGATATCATTAAAATTATTAAAATTGGCTACAAATAAATGTTACCCATGTTGTTGCAATAATTAAATGTAGACCATATAGATTAATCATTATATTTGATAGATAATACTTCAATTATATAATTATTGTAATTACTTAATTAATTTTTAGTATATATTTAACACGTTTGAATATTTAACTACTTTTTTTAAGAATATTTAGTTTTACTAGAAATGTTGTTAATAAAATATTGATTTTCAAAACTAAATGAAAAATATTAACCAATCAAAGTGTAATATTTTACATGCAATATATTTTACAATACATTTACAATAAACCATATTAAATATATTTAGGTACACGTAGTAATATTTACATAAACTATATTTAAATAAATAATTTTTATTTTAATGTCCTCATATTAATTTAAAATTCATATTTTATAAATGATTGAATAAATAATATTTTCTTTATTAATTAAAATGAATTTTAAATGAATTTTTAATTCAATAGATTTGTTTATATAAATAATATTTAAAATGTACAGTATTTACCGGTATATACCTTTATTGTAGTAAATATACATTATTGTAGCAAAAAAAATGAATCAATATATTTTCTTATTTTTTGAATTTAATTTGAAATAATTAATTTTTATAACAAATATTTATTTTTTTGTGTACAATATAAAACACATTAATAATTTTCTTAAAATATATTTATGCTTATTGTTTGATAGTATTTTAGTAATATATTCAATAACAAGTGTTATAATTGCAACACAATATAAGACTAATATTTTTCTAATTAATATTTTAAATTCATTTAAATATAATTGCGATGATTGAAACTCTTTAGAAATTATTTTCATATTATATTTATTTGAATTAATATCCACATTAAATAGTTGTATATACAGCATCCATGTCCAATAGTCTAGTAAACCCGATTTTAATACATCCATGATGCTATAGAAAATAATTATTATAAATTTTAATTTATAATACTAATTTTATAAAATTATTCAAAAAATATTTAAAAATTATTTACAATTTATTTAACTCTTGAGTATATTTTGAATGCTTTTGTAATGCAATTGATAAAAATCCAATTGAAAATGATGTATCGATTGAATTATCAGGTACAGTTTGCATACGAATATGACTGAAGTGCATAAAAAATAGTAAACTATTTCTCGGTGCTATCATTGAATAAATAATATCAGTGTTATTTAGTTTTTTAATAGCGTCCTTTATATAATCATGTTTTAAATACTTCCCAATTCTTGTGTAATATTCGGACTTTTTATCCTAATTTTAAATAATAATTTTTTATTGTATTATAGTAATATAGATCTTTATGCTTACTTTAAATAACCTATGGTATCTAGGTATATCTGTTGACAATGTCTGCAAATACCCGGACTCCTGTGCATTAGCCAAGTCCTCAATTGTCTGAATCCTATGCTCAGTATTGGAGGCTATGTATGAATAAACACATCCCGCATAACATGTACTCAATATCATAAAACCCAATAATAAACTCATTAACACAACCCTGATCATAAATCTTTTAAATACTTCCTAGGCACGACCACTTATATTTTTGGGATATAAGCAAGATAATAAAACAAAGCAAATAACGTACGGCATTGAGGNTTTTCAACACTTTGTCTCAAAAATATGGAAACAATTTTCCAAATACTGTCCGTTGAAGACATACTTCCGCTACTAATCCTTAGTAGTGTTGATGTGATTGCAATCATAACTAAACTCCAAATCCAGACATTGGTATCAAATGGTTTGAAAAGACTAATGAAATGAAATAATTTAGGCGTTGGGGACGTGAATGTAATGTCGTCTATGATGTGAGGGTATGTCAGGTCTACCGCCTCTCGTCTCTCAATATCGTGAACTAATTGTCCGATTCCTATATCAGCCAACTGTTTAATAAAATATATTAATTAACTTTATTTCTAATAGATGACTTAATATTTATTATAAATTATAATTATACTCACACCGGATTGAAGTAAACTAATAATACTGCCATTTGGAAATGTACCATTAGCCATTTTATGACCCCACGAACCTCTCGTGTCAATAATGTGATAGGTGAAATTCCATTGGGATTGCAATGTATTTAATAATTGTGCCTCAATGCCGTACGTTATTTGCTTTGTTTTATTATCTTGCTTATATCCCAAAAATATAAGTGGTCGTGCCTAGGAAATATCAAAGCTTGATTATCAGGATATCAATAGACATAATTAAAGTTATTAAAATTGACTACAAATAAATGTTACCCGTGTTGTTGCAATAATTAAATGTAGACCATATAGATTAATCATTATATATTATAAATAACACTTCATTTATATAAGTATTTAGTTATATTTATTAATTTTTCATTATAATGTAGTAAATTATATTGTGTAGGCTTTAATATTTAAGATGTTTACAGGAATATTTTAATTACTAAAAATGTCTTTAACAAAATATTGATTTTAAAACAAATACATAATATTTATAAAACATTTAAAGTAATGAACATTTAACTAAATTATATTGTACATAACATTATTTATTTGTTTACACAAATTAATATTTACACAAATTTTATTTTGATGGGTTCAGTAGTTTTTTATTTAAAGGTCTATTGTTCCAAACTTAATTTAAAACCAGATTTTAATGTACCGGAATAAATAAGTTTGTATTAGTATAAATATTGTTTTTAAATATATTTTCATTAAAAACAATTTTAATGTAGTTTAGTTTAATGCATTAGATTTATTTATAGCAGTATTATTATAAAAACTTATAGATATATTTTTTATGATCTTATCATGGTATAATATTAAAATGTTTTTGACAATAAAAAATGCCATTGAATATATTTTTCAATGAATCATATTTTGTTTATGATTTTTAATTTGAAACAAATTATTTGATAACATTAAACAAGAATTTAATGCATTCATTTTATTTACTATTTTTAAACTTTATTGGCAGTAAGTTATTGCTATTTTTGAAATCAGAGTCCAATTTTAAAGATAGTATTACTAATATTTATACTAGATACTAATGCTAATACTGTATTAGCAAGGCATACAATTAAATGCATTAGCATTAGAAATTAAACTGTATTAGCAAGGCACAGTGTATGATACACTGAACATAAAACATACTTGTAATATGAGTTTGTAGTGTAAATGTTGATGATCATAAGAGTATTTATATTCATTTAAACATATTTCACTTTTAATGATAATAATTGTAATACTTGAATATTTTTTAACTAATTGATTCAAGTAGTTTCATTAAATTATTTAAAAATAAAACTTTTCTATAAAATTAATTCAATACTACTTTTGTGGGCTAATGTCTGGTTTTGATAAGACTCGAGTGGTCGGTGTATCCGATGAGGAATTGGATGAATACACGTGTGGTATATGTCTGCAAGTGTTTGTCAATCCTGTGGTCACCCAATGCTGTCAACAATCCTATTGTAGTGAATGTATCAACGGTTGGCTTTCAGACAACAATACCTGTCCTAATGATCGCAAGTCATTGAGTCGTGAAGGCGTGGGTCCGGCGCCCAGAGTTTTGGTCAACTTATTGAATAAAATGAAAGTGAAGTGCGATTTCTATCTCAAAGGCTGCGAATCAGTGGTCAAAATGTGTGAATTACTCCAACATTTAGATTATTGCGATTATAGTGAGAGGCAAAAGTGCAAGACCTGTGAACTGCCTATTGATGGCAATACCCAACACAACTGTATCGACAATCTATTGATTCAAAACCAAAGTCTTCGTAATGATAACCAAAGACTAGAAGCAGAAGTTAATAAATTGGTGAGCATTTCATACAATTTTATTGAGTATAATAGCAATATCAATTAATGACATTTTGGCATTATACATTTATTTTGAATTAAATTCAGAGTATGAATAGAGTAATTTCATTGGCTCGTAAAGACCTGGATAATGTTGAGGTGCGATCACAAACACGAATGTCATCGTCTGAAGTGAATCTATGTATTGAGACGTCTCAGGAAGCCATCGGTCTGTATGACAACTATTTGGATATATCTACCCATATATACAATGAATTTAATGACCAATTGTATGGCAAACAATGGCATTGTATGGCATTCTCGAGCACTGGTGGTCAGTCTCTAGTATCAGCCAGGCAATATTGTCAGCTATTATTTGGTGGTGTACTTCACATCGAGATATTTAATGCCAAATAATATAACATTTTTTAAAATTCATATTTTGTAAACAATTATTTTGATTTATTTTAGATTAATCGGATTCAGATGTAACGGTATTTTTCTATATTAAATATAATAAATAATATGACCGTATATTGTAATCTCAAACAAGTAATGATACTTTGGTTGCTATAATTTATTGTAATAGTATTTCCCGGATATCATATACAGTAGTAAACAACTAATTTTTTATAAGTAATTGTAAATCAATGCTACTTTGAATTGAAATGCCATATTATTTCCTTAGGATACAACAAATAACTATATATAAAGTTTATATTATATTATATTTATATTATAAACATACATTCCTGTTTGTATTGTATATTATATATTAAAATAATTATTACTAAATTTATAGCATATCTTTGTTATTAGCATCAACTAAGTAAATGTTTACATTGAAAAACTATTTACTATACAATTATATTCATAAATAATAATTTATTCAATTTTATAAACCTTTTTAACAAAATTTAAGATATATTTTGTGTCATAATGTCAGGCATTGACAAGAGTCGAGTGGTCGGTGTATCCGATGAGGAATTGAATGAATTTCTATGCGGTATATGTCTGGCAGTAGTGGTCCATCCAATGGTCACCCAATGTTGTCAACAATGCTATTGTCGTGAATGTATCCACAGTTGGCTTTCAAACAGCAATACCTGTCCTAATGATCGCAAACGATTGTATCGCGAAGATGTCTGTCCGGCGCCCAGACTTGTGACCAACTTATTGAACAAAATGCAAGTCAAGTGCGAGTTCTATGACAAGGGCTGCGAATCAGTGGTCAAAATGTGTGAATTAACACAACATATAGATTATTGCGATTATAATGAGAGGCAAAAGTGTAAGACCTGTCACTCCAGTGATTTGTTAATCAAAAATCAAAGTCTTTGCGATGAAATTGAGAAATTAAAAGCCGATTATAAAAAACTGGTAAGAATTACATACAATTATTGATACAGAATTTGATCACCTTGTTACATTAATATTTGAATCAGAGTATGAAAGGCGTGATAGAGACAGCTCGTAATAACCTGGATGATTACCAAGTGATTTATCAAATCAACATCTCATCGTCTAAACTGGACTTATGTATAAAGCGGGCAAAAGAGGCCATCAGTTGCTGTGACACCTACACCGACATAACGAGCCATATATTCAACGCGTTTAATACACGCAAACGGTTTTCCAAGCGCTGGCACTGCATAGCATTCGCGGGCACTGGCGGTGAGTCTCGGGTTTCAAACAAACAATATTGTCAGCTATTGTTTGGTGGCGTACTTCACATCGAGATATTTAATGCCAAATAATNGCACTGCATAGCATTCGCGGGCACTGGCGGTGAGTCTCGGGTTTCAAACAAACAATATTGTCAGCTATTGTTTGGTGGCGTACTTCACATCGAGATATTTAATGCCAAATAATTTTCACAAAATATTGAACCAATAAATCTAATTAAAATGATTTACCCTCATATGAACTACTTAATTATTAATAAAATACAAATGATTGCCAATTATTTATTGCTAATAATGAGATGTATTTGATAGGAATTAAATATAAAAGAGATACTGTATTGAAATTGTTGAAATTGAAATTTTGTAATATGATTAGCACTTAATAAAGTGATTCCAAACGATAGATCACAATATTATTAAATAGAAATATTTATATTGAATCCAGTTTATTAACTACTGAAATAATATATTTACATTAAACTAATGATAACTTTGAAAACAGATAATATTTTATCGGATACAAAGGGTAAATATTAATTGAGTATGTATGACTAACAAATAATAATACTGAAATATATATATTTATACATAATAATATACTGTTATGATATCTGTATTATCATATACGGTAATGATAACAACATTAAAATTTAATGTATGTACATTTAATGTATCATATTGCAATACCATATTATTGCACATTAAATGATAAGATCGTCTCGAAATATGTGACTATCTACTACTAGTAATGCCTTATGTTTAAATAAATTGCTTAAAAAATAACTCAGCTAGTAATAAAACTCAAAAAGTAGCAAATAATAAATTTAACAAAATTTATGAACTAATGTCTGGTTTAGACAAGAGTCGAGTGGTCGGTGTATCTGTGGAGGAATTGGATGAATACACGTGTGGTATATGTCTGCAAGTGTTTGTTAATCCTGTGGTCACCCAATGCTGTCAACAAACTTATTGCAGTGAATGTATCTATGGTTGGCTCTCAGACCACAATACCTGTCCTAATGATCGCAAGAAATTGAGTCGTGAAGGTGTGGGTCCGGCGCCAAGATTTGTCATTAATCTACTGAATAATATGAAAGTAAAGTGCGATTTCTATGCCAATGGCTGTAAATCAGTGGTGAAAATGTGTGAATTGTCACAACATATAGAAAATTGTAATTTTAATGCAAACCAAAAGTGTAAGACCTGTGAACTGCCTATTGATGGCAATACTCAACACAATTGTATTGAGAATCTATTGATTGTTAATAAAAGTCTTTGCGATGAAATCAAGAGAATCCAATTGCAGAGTCAAAAAGTGGTGAGACTTTGATTCTTACATATATTTATATCTTTAAAATTAATAACCTTACCGTATATTGTATATTATACAGGGTTGTGCACCAGAGACAGTACTAGTTTATCTTATCATACATACAGTCAAACCTTGTTTAATACATAATACATTATAAAAATAGCATAAAATACAAAATATTCATAAAAAACGTTTTTATTATTTTTTAAAAATTAAATCAAATTAAAGTTAAATATAGTTAAAATAAATTATAAATACTGTTAACTTTATGTCAACACGTGTTTTATGATACAAACCAGTTTATACTTATGATAACTTGTGATTTCGAGGTTTGAGTGTATGGGTACTAAAGATAAACTAGTGCTGTCTCTGGTGCACATCCCTGTACATAGACTGTATACTACTTTCTCAATTGAAATCATGTAAAATCATAATGGAGATTGTATACTGTATAATATATTAAACATTAATTTGTTTATAAATGTACTTTTAGTGTATGGAGGGCGTGATAGAGTCGGCTCGTAAAGACCTGGATAATTGCACAGTGAAATCACGAACGAATCTATCGTCGAGTGAAGTGGAGTTATGCATCGAAAGGTCCAAAGAGGCCATCAGGAGGTGCAACAGCTTTTCGGATATATCGGCGCACATACACAATGTATTCAATGATAATAGGGGTGTCTGGGCTATCAAACAATGGCATTGCAATGCATTCTCCAAACATGGCGGCGAGTCTCTCGTATCTCCCAAACAATACTGTCGACTAGTGTTTGGTTTGCTTCGCATCGAGATATTTAGTACTGCCAAGAATTAAAGCATCTAGGTCATTATGTTTCTAGGAACATGGTTTAATAGAAAAAATTGTAAAAGGCTAAATAGTAACCATCAGCACCTAGCGCAATTAGACACGGATTATTTAATAAAAATTGAATTAAAAATATTGTATATTTATTTTTCTGATGAAAATAACTTTTCTCAAATAAAAGGCTTACTATGCTCTGCACAATGCTAAATCAACGGATGTTAGGACAAAGAAGACTGTCAGGATCTGGCTAAGCTGGCAATCGGGATTTTTTGGTTGGATATGAAAGTTCATTTAATGCTGAGTCCGATTATGTAATT